CGCCACCACACCCAACTAATTTTTTCCTCTTTTTGTGGAGATGGGGGGGGGTCTCATGATGTTGCTTAGGCTACATCTCAGTCTCGAACTCCTGGGCTTAGGCAATCCTCCCACATCAGCCTCCCAAAGTGCTAGGACTGCAGGTATGAGCCACCATGCCAGGCCCAGTGTTTTTATTCATCCGTGTAAATAGAACAATTATCCTAATTTGAAGGACACTTCTTCAAAAGTTAATTAGACCATAAAAAAAACTGAACAGTTTGTACAACAAAATTATGTTCCCAGCGTGATTAGGTTCTTCAGTAACAGAGAAGAAACTCAAAAGGGCGCCCGCTCAGCAGCCCTCCTGACGGCAGAGAAAAGGAGGCCAGCTGGCATTGCGAGTGTGAAGGGCCCATCATGTATCCCTGTCGCCGTCCCTGTCCAGAAGGAAGCGCCCAGCACAATGCACTGTTTATTCTGTATGAAACACCACTCTATCCACCTCAAAGGGTTTGTTTCCTGCTCTAAGATAAAGAAAAGTCCATGTCCCTAAGACACACTTAGAGAAAAGGATCTCACAGAAGATCCAACGTTTCCCCTTCTTCACTGTCCCTCCTCAAGTTCACCTGGATGTTCCAGGGCAATTTTCTTAATGTTTCATTGTTGATTATCCTATTCTAAAGTAGAATTCTTCAGCAGCACACGATACAGAAGACACAGGCGAAAACAGGTCCCACAAATACACGATGGGATAGGAGGTATCTGAAATACAACTTTCTAGCCCATTATTTTTCCTGATGACTAAACTCTAAATTAAAAGTCTCACTTTGTCACCCTCGGTAGTGTGCCGGGGTGTCACAGATCACAGCAATCTAAAAATGGAGGTTTTTTCCCATCAATGGCGTGTGAAGCCCATTCTCACGACACGATCATTGAAACTTCTCATCTGCAAAACATAATGCAATAAATTATCAATAAGAGGAAGAAAAACCATGAAGCTCCATCTGGCTTACAAAATGAAAACCATAAGATCGTATGACATACAGTATCAAATATTAAAATTTATATATTTTTCTGGATTTTTTCACTCTTCTTGATTGTAAGAGTAACAGACAAATGTAGAAGATTTTTAAACTATGAAATAGCAAAGAAAATCCCATCCCTGCCATGCAGATGGAACTATTAATATTTGGTGGTTATTTCAGTATTTTTTCTGGTATAAACAAGCAATTAGGTTTAAGATAGGCACACACCAGTATACTTTTCTTGAATAAAATTAGGATATTATGTTTGCATTTTTATTTTTTATTCAACACATGGCATGTTAAATATCCATGACATTAAAGTCCTTCTAAACACACTTTTAATAACATATCACATACGGATATGTCAAAATATATTTAAAATGACTTTCCCTACTTTGGGACATCTATGATGTTTCTAATTTTTTAATGTATTAAATAAGACTGTCATGAAGATATTCAAAACTCAAAAAACATCCAATTATTTTCTGACAATGTAATTCTGGAAGTAGAATTACATTGTTGAAGGTGAAATTGGTATGATTAAAACCATCCCCAACTCCTCAAAACACAGCCTATAACCAGACTCAAAAATCACAAAAAATATATATATTTCCAATAAATGTTTTAAATCACAAAAACTCAATGCCTAAAGAAATTAGAAGGAACAGGAAATAGAATCACCATTATGTTTTAGCACATACCTACAGAAAACCATGAACTCAGTTTAAACCCCACACTATAATCTGTTCTGAGTCAAAGAACGCAGGACAGCAAGATGTTACAGGGAGATGAAAAATTATCTCAACTCCTTATGAAAGAAAAACATCAGAGAAAAGGAAGGACAGGTCCATCCCAGGAACTAAAGACAAAAGACTTTTCTCTAACAAACTGCAAATACTATAGACTTCTCTCCCTCTCTCTCTCAGCAGGCAACTTAAACCCAATTTTTATTTTTTTACTTCATTTTAAGCCCTGATATCCATTTTTTAATTTTCTGAAACAAACAAGAATTTTTTTATAATAGTTCCAGATATAATAGTTCTCCAAGCTCAGGAGAAAGACCAATCTCCCAAAAGTTCCAAGCCAAAACCCTTAAAATAAAATGCTGATATTAAAGATTTTCAAAATTTCACAACTTTTCTCCCTTGAAATACTTACTCAGTGTGGGAAAGTTTCATTTCTTCCCTTTGTTTTGCAGAATAATTTAAGTTTCCACCTAAAACACAAACATACAATCTTTTCAGTCTATGTATTAAGTTAGTAAAATTCAACCATATACACATGTGCAAGTATTTGCATAGATATGCTTTATTTTAAGTAATAGAAAAAGCTACAGAAGATGAGGAAAAAATAATTTATCTACTGGAACCTTCCCGGGGGAAAATACAGAATCCTTACGTGACACAAATAATCACCCCTAAATGTTAACTTTTTTTTTTTCAAGTTTGGACTTAGTATTACTTCAGGTTTTTGTTAACTAGAACATTGTATTCAATAACAGTGAAAATTAAGAGAAATTAAAGGAAATTATATCAATAGCATGGTTATTACAATCTGCTAATTACATAATACCCGTCAGGAGCAAGCAAGTACAAAAGTTAATAAGGCCAAGATTAAAACCTTATAAACAACAACAAAACACAGCACCAATGTATATAGTACAACTTAGCAAAAAAAAATTCTGTAATTTCTAATACTAAAACAAATACTTTTAATCTTATAATGTAAACTATAGCTATAAATTTAGTTATTTATTTTTCAAAAATACAGGACTGTGATACAGGAGGGGCTTTACATTATTTTTTAAATACCTTATTTCTTTATATCAATATAAAAATAACATCTAAGATTTTACATGATAAAAATTGAACTGATCTAGAAAAATCAGAACTGATCTGGAAAAATATGATAGCAATTTTAATAAATGAGAAGATTCAGAATTTAAAATTATATATTACATAATGAGATGTTTCCACCATTAGGAACAGAAAGTCATTACTATATGAACGAAAGCACTGCCTCCCACAAGAGACAATCAATCCAGAAAACACACAAGATGATCCATGGGGGTCTGAGAAGGAAACACGAGAACTTCGACTTACCTTGGGCACGATCCACCAAATAGAGTAAGACCACAGACAAAAGTGACACTAGGAGTGAAAAAACACATGGCCCTTAGAAAATATAGACCTCTTCTCCATGATTCCTCTGCAATCATAATTACAAAGTAAAGCTTAGACACAGTCAAGCCTTTGTTAACCAACATTTAAAGATAAAAATATTATTCACGATATCATTAAATAGAACTTACATACCATTTTCTCTAGGGATGGCAGAGCCAGATAAGGAGAAGCTGAGGCCCCAGAGAGGAGGGAGCTGACCCTCCACAGGCCATCCTACCCCTCTCTCCTCTCCCTTGCCAGTGCTGGTCCTTACTGGCCCTTCCCTAAAACTCCCACCAACTGCAGATTATTAATCATTTTAGAGAAAGCCAAACAGAAGTAGCCCTCTGGGGGTTCTAAGTCTGAAAGCATCAAGTCCATTTTATAACTTAAATAACCAAACATTAAAACACAGCCACTGGACTCCAAGAAATCCACAGCCAGTAGAGACCTGGACAGTCAGGCACGTGGCTTTTTCCCTTAACAAGTGAGGCACACTATGTAACTTACTTTAAAATAATGTGGCTACAGGAGAATATATTTTCAGAGAAACACAATGTATTTGTATGTTAAGATTATGAACAAATGCTGGCATGGTTTCCCATAGTTTCCTAGTGCCTTCTGTTTCTCACTAATGAATGATTAGAATGAATGACTTTTATAGGTAAAAATCAAATAAGACAAAAAGCCATTTAAAACCACCCAATGAATAAACCATGAGCCCTGAATAAACCCAAGTCACACCAATGTCCACACGTTCACACTGGAGACATACTCAGCCATACTCCAATTATCCCACACTAAAGGGAAAAAAATTTTTTAAACCATAAATATTTTAAAAAGAATATGAAGCAGATTCCACTGTTGCCTTTAAGGATAAGAATCTTCTGAAAAATGCCTGTGACTCTTCAAAGAGCTGGAAAAGTCACCAGCTGTGACACTGACACACAGGCTAAGAATGAGGCAAATCTAAGAGACAAGACTTCAGGGATTTGGTTTCAGAGGGAGAAAAGAGAGCAACAAAAATCTCAGAGTAAAACTGAGAATAGAATATTCTGCTGCGTGTTAAAGGAAACTAACTGTTGCCACATGGAATACTCACAAGAGACACAGGCAATGAAGAAAACCTCTAAAAACAAATATCCTCGAGTATCCAGTATCATCCCAGCAACGATAGAAATGATGGCCAGCCCCAGATTCTGAATGGACTGCATGCTACAATTTAAGAAATACAAAAACACATTTCATTTTCCCAAGTCTTCACACACAGACTAACACTTCCTATAAATGTTAGTATCTATGAACCGTATATTACAGTGTTAGGAGATGTTTTCCACTAAGGATGACTGATTAAACTCTGTTGTTCTTATCCTGTGACTGTTTCCATGACTAAAGTGTCTGCCCAAAGGTAAGGGAGCTTGTCTCCTCAAGTGCAGTTTGTACCTGTCACCTTCCTGATAAAGGATAGAAAGGGCTGCATGAATACCAGCTATGGGTGCAATTTCTCCCTTTTGCCTCTTTGGGCCAGACAAGATACTTAACTTCTTACCAAAAAGCCCCCACTTAAAGGTGCAGGGAGATGGTAATTATTAGCAGCTAACCTCTTCTGGGTTAGCGGTCTTGATGGAGGCTTGCAACTCTTTTGTTGCTACAATATTAAATAGACTAACTTTTCCAGTTATCTCCAGGTTCAGAGCTCTTTCAGAAGATGATGCCTAGTTTCAGGAGATCTGGAGTTGCATGTGATAATTAAACTAACAGAGCAGAGGAAGAACGTACGACGCGTAGCATAAAAACTTACAAGCCATACGCAGTTCCCAGCTGATGTTCAGGAACTACAAATGCCACCATTGGCCACAATGCACAGGCCAGCAATGAGTAGGACAGTCCCAGGAGACACTGCAGAAAGCCATACAGCAAGGCATAAAAGCCTGATCTTAACACAAAGGTGATTTTTTTGCTTCAGATTAGCAAAAGGGACACAGTAGCTAATATATAATAGTCACGCAAATTTGGTGATTAGGCTAAAACTCATATTCAAAAAATAGAAAAAAATCTTAGACCTCTTTACGAGTGTCCCTCTAGTGACGAGATACACAGGCTCCTCCTTAGCCACTTCCACTTATGCGTATGTTAAGTCGTATTATATGCATAGGTCACTGGCTGGACCCCAGGGTGCAGTCAAGGATGGAGCAAGAAAATCAAGCTGATTTGCAAAAAGTTCTGACCAATCTTTCAGGCAAGCTAATGTGCAGGCAAGCTAGTAATGACAAATTAGCCCATCAGCACAACATATTGTCAATATTCCATCAATCTGCCTCCAAGTCAACACCCGATTGGAGCGCAGAGCAGAGAACCAACCACCACCACCACTGGTCGTGGAACACCTCCTAATGCTGATCTTTTATTCCAATAAAAAATACTTAGTAATTTTAGTATTATTTGTACCTATCAGATCATCAAAGATCAAAACAATGCCAATAACTAATAATGGAAAGGATATTAAAACACAGACACCTGTGTATATGATGAGGAAGTTATAAATGAGAGGGAAGTTTCTGTTACAGTATATTCCAAGACACTAAACTACGAACCCTCTGCTCTGGCACTGCTACTTCTAATAATTGGTACTGCATCTGTAGAAACACTTCCACAGAAATCCTCACCAAGTTCACAGGTATTTATGTTCAAGATAATTATTTATGACCAGGTAAGAAATGCAGCACTGCAGGCTCTGGTCTTCATTCAGTGACATTTTCAAGAACAACAAATACTTGCTAAGTTCATTCTCACTTTTTAAAAACCTACTAAGAGAGTCAAAGACAAAACAATGGACACTCGGCCAACAGATTTTTTTGCCACCTTTGATGGAATGACTTCCTTTAACTTATTTATTTTAGAAAAATAAATGGGATTAATGAACACTCTGGCTTTTATAAGGCTATTTTATTTCAAATTCTATTTCAACATTAAGGATACCCTGCCAAATAAGGCAAATGAAAGTAAAAGATACCTTATGCATAAATAATTCATAATCCTTATTTCTTTCTATAACTCTTTCATAGAAATCAAAATCCAGTCATCATTTCCCCACTGCCATGGGCACTGCCATCTGAGTTTACTGAGCACAACCCCTTGCCCCTGACATGGACCTGACGGTGTCCTGGCTGCAGCCCCGAGCCCTGGCATGTTAACGCAGACATTACCATAGCAATCCAAGGGTTCCACATCGTGAAGGCCAGCATCATGTGGGACACAAGCGTGGTCACCACTGCACACAGAACCCAGATGACGTTCTTCCCTGTTTTATCCACCAGGAGCCCAAATACTGGGGACATGGGAGCTGAGATGACATACACAATACTGCCCAGAGAACACAGAAGAGACTTAATGAAATGCAACCACAGGCCAAAATCAATGTCAAGAAAGTCACTAAAAATATCAGGCAAAGCAAATCCTAACTCATTTAACATTATTCTAAAACGGTCATCAGAAAACAGAAATATGAAAAGCAATCGAGACTTGTTTGGTTTCCTATGAATGCTGGACTCCAGTCTGGGCTCCGCTGGCTGTCAGGGCCCAGACATCTCTCTTTGCCTCTTACAACATTTGGTTATAATTAGAGACCCACGCTTTACACGCAACAGCATTGACAAGATTCATGAATTACCTGTTAATTGCACTTGCTGCCTGGGAAGAAAATCCAAATTTCTCTGTAAAGAAAACTCTAAAATTAAAAATTAAAAAGACAGAGAAATCAGGATATTAGAAAAAATGACTCTTTTCAAAAAATGAAGGCAAAATAAACATGAATACAAACTCTTACGTTTAATAAACTTTTTTTTCTTGATACTATTTTCCCAGATTTTTTAATATTCAATTTCCTAAAGCTTACAGGACTCACACAATGTATATAAAAAATACTCCACTAACTAAACATGATACCTATTTTGTCCTTTTTACATATACAGCAAGCGTTATGCACACATTTTCAGAAAACCAAATATACTAATACAAGGAGTTAAGGCTTTCCTTTTCCTTTAAAAATAGTGCTGGACGGGTTCTTTGCTAAATAATAAATAGGGTTTTTGTGTCCAATGGTTTAAAATCAGCCTGAACTGAAAGGTAATAAAGACACACTCACACTGAAGCAACTGCCAGTGGAGAGGGAGAGAAAAGCAGAAGATAAAGAAGAATTTGCTCTGAGCTCTGAATTTAAGTCTGGCAAAAACACAGTCCTAACAGATGGAGACGTGCCGGTCACGGTCACGGTGCACCAGGACCCGGTCTCTGTTCTCAGGAACAAGCTTTCTCATCAAGGGATAAAGAGGAAATCAGAAAGGATTCTAGTCCAAATGGACTATTAAAGCCAATCAGTATTGTGAATCAAAACTGTTATTAGGCATTTCTACAAAAGAATAATAAAGGAATAAAACCAGCATTTGTATTTCAGGATACAAAGCCATTCCTAGGCAAATATAAGCTGTAATCACAGAAGCAAGAGTTATTACTAAAAAACCCCCAACATTTATGTGATTGAACTCTCATTATAATTTAGTCAAGAAAAACGGAATGCTAGTGAACACTCACTTGCCAAGGCCAATGAAGGGGAAGACAGCGACATAGTAGCAGACACAGATGACAAATATGAGCCACAGGGGTAAGGAGAAGTCCTTCACGTCGGTCAGCTTAATAACTTCACCTTAGAGAAGGACAGGAAGAGGCCTTCAGCTTAATTTTGCACACCTAAGGCAATTTCATTTATGGTCAAGATTTTTTGTTTAACCTTTGCAATTCAGTGTAAAAAATACCTCTCTAGTACATTACACAGACACCAGTTCTGGGATAACTTAACAAAGATGCAAGGAAAATGCCAAACCAAGCTTGGTACCGACCATCCTGCTCCCTTTCAGGAATAACAATCCTTTGTGTTTTGCAAATACACAAAGTACAACTGAGAATGTAAATTCTGCCAAAATAGTTAAAAGGGAAAAAACTGGATCCAAAATTTACAAAGTAAATAGATTTTGAAATTATATATATATTATATTAAGCCTCACTGGGTTTATAGCATTGCATTAAGAATACGTTCCTCTCTCATTGTAAATTATCTCACAAAGGTTTTAATTCCCCAAGTCCTATTCTTCTTTCATTTAGACTTACCTGTTTTTCCTTGTTCTTTATGAAGGATTCTCTCTGCTCTCTGATCCAAGTAAGCAAGGACCAAGGCACAGATGAGTGAAAGAATACACGTTATTCCCCCTAAATTAAAAGAACAGATTTTAAAAAGAGAACCAGACTAAAGCTCCTAACAGGCAATATAGTATAGCAACAGCAGAAAACTCAGCCACGGAACGGGGTGGCACTAAGAACCTAAGTCAAGCTACCAGGACTGAGCCAGAGCAGAACAGGACGTGCATGTAGTACAATCAATAGTGGTTACTTTTACCGTGACATTTCCCAGTAGAAGGTTGGAGGTTAGAAAAACACTAGAGCAAACTAGTCTAGGCTTTTCGTAAAGGAGAATACAGACTGAGGAAAGCTGGTGAGCCAGCAAATCAGTCCTACTTTCTTCGTTCAGCCTAAGCACCACTGCTGACGGATACCAAGGGAACAAATTACAAAAGCCAAGTCTGATTCTGGGACCATCTCTCTTCCTTCTGATGCCTTCTGAACATCTACAACTTTGCTCTTTCCCCCTGGCAGCCCCACAGGGCCCCACCCTCCCAAAGCACAGCTCTGAGCCTCTCCTGTGAGGTCAACATTTCTCCCTAATGCTGACCTCGTATCACCATAGGAAACCAGGATAAAGAACGAAGAAAGTTCACACTTGAGGAGAAGTTTCAAAAGAAGCTTAGTAAAACAAATGAGTAAAGACTGACATGGTCTAGCTGAGACATCACAGCAGACAGAAGCGGCACGGCTGCGCTAACTGCTCAATGACCTTGCACGCCCAGCTTAACCGCTCCTGGACTCGGCTTCCCCCTCTGTAAACTAAGAGACTTGGACTTGATGCCAGAGGTCTTCTCTGGCTCTAAAATTCCCTAAAATCCCAAAGATCTCCATTGTGGAGGGACCTTGACAGAATACTTAGGACAATTTGAAACTCATAAAAAAGAGGTTTTAAGTAAGAAAAGTAATTTAAGAGGGTTGGTTTGGAAGAAAGGAATCTTCAGACGTTCTTGCCTGTTGAGGAAGCCCTCTCACTGTCCTCTCTTTACCAGGCTGTACACACTCAGGAATTACAGGGAATAAAAGATGTGCAAATCTCGGGCACCGTGTGTACCTCACTGAGCCGCAGGCCTCTAAGAGCCCTGCAAACCGTCATGTGCACACCACGGGGCTCAGACAAACTCAGCGCTCCCAGAAAACCCACCCTGCAACTAGCACACTGGAGACTCTGGCTAAGAGAAGTTAGGGACAGGAGGGCCCTATGCACTTTTGATCAAACACCTGCAATTTGACAGAAAAAATAACCAAGACACAAACGTATTAACTTCCTTGTCTGAGATGACAGAACAAGTTACAGGCAGCGTTAAAACCCGGGCCCCTGGACTCCAGACTTGGTAGATTTTATATTTGACTTGTATAAAATCTAACCTCTCTAGGCATCCTGACTAAATCTGAACACCTCACATCTACAAACTCCCTGATCTGTCTCCCTCACGGAGTCTGCACATACACTACCTCTCTGTATCACCAGATACAAGTGACAACACTGAAATACAGAACAAGAATAAGATCTTCCGCTCTAGGAAAGTGGGAATTAAAATACAAATAGGGTAAACGACTGTCTACCTCTAACTAGGTCAAAAAACAGTAAACCATACGGGTAAAACTATGACCGAAGTGGTCTGACCCCGATTCCTGTGCTCCTTCTCCTGGCAAGCTTTCCAGAGAGATGAGATGGGAGACGTCAGCATTCACTCACCAATCATAAGCGTGACCCCCAGGGTTGTGGGACCGGCAGAGCCCAGGGAAGCCTCCATCTTGGAGTACAACCACCCCATGAGGTTCATGTTCACCGTACTCCCCTAAATGAGAAGAAAAAACAACCAACAGAATTTTCAACTATTTATACATATTCTTTGTTCAAAAACAAACAGGATTTAAAGTAGCTTAGAGAAACAGGTATAATAGGATCCAGATTTTAAAAAAAACAGAATGCTATAAAGAAAAATCTGAGAAAGATAAAGCCATCAAGTTAGTACCCCACTCACTAAAATGCCAACTTTTTAAAAAGGGCTAATATACAAAATAACATAGTACATTTACCACTTCCTAGCAGCCAAAGCAAAAATGAAACACGTTATAATAAAACAAAAATACACCAGTAGCTCAGAAAAGGCTGTTTTCATGGTACTGAAATCTGGAAGACAAATTCCTCCTTTGAATGTCCATAAAAGTAGTAAAAGTTCTAACATCCTCGTTCATTTATTTATTCACTCGGCAATCACTGAGCCCCTACCTCCTGTCAGTCACTATATCAGGTGTCAGGAATATAGGAATAAAGATAGGGTGACCAGACGTCCCGATTTTGGCGGGACAGTCCTGCTTTTCAACAATTTGTCCCGCGTCCTGTGGTGTTTTCAAAAAGTCCCAATTTTTGGAAGGAATGCATAAACAGGCTGGAGAACAAGAAGGGAATATATGGTTTTCGGCTGGCATGTGGCTATTTCGCCAGAATATGAGTTTTATATTATTTTTGTTAATTTTATAATGTTAAACTGTAATAATAACAAATAATTGCTGAGAAGTGATTATCCAGAACTGCTTATCAAAGTTTGCACTGTTGTCAGGCCCTGCCCTGCCCCGTCACCTGCCCTGCCCCCTGGCCATGTTGTCCCACCTTACAGATGTTAAAATCTGGTCACCCTAAATAAAGAACAAAACAGGAAAATAGGCAACTTTCATAAAACTTACATTTTAGTGAGGTAAAAAAATAAAATACATGTAAACAGTATATTAAGCATCACCAAGTGCTCTGAAAAATGTGGAGAATGCAAAGCGGTGTAAAATCAGGGGTGCAGGTCTCACAGAGAAATTTCCTTTGGAGTAAAAATCCAAAGGAAGCAAGGGGCGGGCAGACCCAGGGCAAGAGCTCCAGGCAGGAGGAACAGCAGTGCACAGACACCAAGAGGGCAGAGGCCACACCAGCAGAAAAAAAGAGGGGACAGCAAGGAGATGAGGTCCAAGAGAGGAAACGGTGGGGCCGGGGCTGCAGGCAACAATAAGGACTCCCAGGCTTCACTCTGTGTGAGCTGGGCAGACACGGGGGCCTTGAGAAGTGGCAAGATCCACTTACGCGCTGACAGACTCGCTCTGGCTGCTGTCATCAGAAAGCTCAGTCATCAGAGACATATATATTTATACACATACACATATACAAGTATGAACACAAACTAGAAGTGGGGCAAAAGCAGGAAGAGGCAGCTGTGAGGACGCTGCGGGAGTCATCCAGAACCGAGCTGCCGGGCCAGCCCGGGAGGGTGGCAGTGATCAGAAGATGAACGGGGTTACACACAGGCTGCCCTAAGTTTCTGGAAGAGGCAGGGGTGGGGTTACAGGAGTGGTGGGTGGGACCTGCAGAGCTGGAGAGAGTCAATTCTCGGGCAGCCACCTCAGCTTCAGCCAGCATTGCTCAACTGTTATCTGATTTCTGTATTTAAAGCAAAGAATTTTATGACCAACTGCTGGAGCCGCCCCATTGCAGAGACCAGGGGATGACCCAGTTTCCTGCTTCTCCTTCTCGCAGGGCATCCTCCCCAGTGATCGCAGCTCCAGGCTACTGCTCCATGATGTCCCTGTGGTCTGAGCTGCGACTCTGAGTTTAGACGCTTAACCTCCTTCAGGCATTTTCTAATTATTCACGTCTCAGCTAGGACTTGGGGGTCCAGCACCCTTTTGACTTTCCTTCACAATTTATTACTTTTAAACATTTTGAAATGTGCTCCTTCTCTGCTGTGAGAACACTGCTGAGGACACACGCGTTTCTCAGCGTCAGTGTCAGACTTAGCTATGGCATTTCACACAGCTGACACTCCCTCCTCCCTGAGTTCTGTCGTTGGGTCCCAGGACACTGCAGTCTTGCCATTTTCCTCTTGCCTTTCTGTCTAGCACACCACCTCCACGCCAGGAGATCTGTGGTTAGTCCCACGTCAATCTTCCTCACCTGTAAAAGTGGTTTGGTTCCTGGACACCTTCTCTTTCCTTCAGCACTCGCAGCCCTGGTGATCTTATCTAGTTTTGCAATTTTAAGCAGCATTTTCCTTGTCCCTGAATTCATGTCACTTGTCCAGGCCTTCCCTCTGCATTCCACAGCCGGGTTTGCAGCTGCCCACTCAACAGAGCCACCTGGACATCTGCCAGGCCCGTCCAACCTGATGGGCCCCAGACCCACTATTAACACCCTGCCCACCCTCTCCCAGCTGCTTCCTGCTGCTGTGCTTTCTCACCCTCACGAAGGACAACTCTTTCTTCAGTTGCTCAGGCAAAAACTTTGGTGTCACCCTGAGCTCCTCCTTCCCCACCCCTCCAGTCCACACATTTTCAATCAGCAAATCCCATTAGCTCAGTCATCAGAAACATATATACTTATACACACACACATATACAAGTATGAACACACACATAGAAACGACCGGCTCCTTGGAATGTAGGTTAACAGATCACAACAAAGTCACGACAACACAGAAAAGAACCTGCCGACCACCAGCACCCAGAATGGAATCACAGGAGTGAGTCTTGCCTAACTGATTGCACTTCCCTCTTTGAAAGGTTAGTAGACAACTGCATCCACAAACTGCCACAGACATGTCTTTACTTGCACAAGACACATTAGCAAAGCCTGTTGGAACATCCTTATAGATAAAATTTACAAAACATGCGAAACCACACTATTTATCAAAGATTTACAAATTAAAATTATACTTATCATTTCCTACCAGTTTTAAAATGACTTTTTTTGAAGTAATAACATTTCCTACCAAAGTTTTAAAATGGCTTTTTTTTTTTAATAACCACCTGCACTCTTTAAGCTACCCCAGAAGGAATCCTCTCAGACCCTACAGATGGGGATGTCCACATCTGCGGAAAGATAGTGTGGAAATAGGACCTGGCTGTCCTCAGAAACCCTAAGACACTCTCTGACTCAGTAACTCCACGCCCAGCCACCTAAGCCTAAGGCAACTGCAGAGATATAGACAAGTTTACAGTCGAAGTTTTAGACTGCAACACGATTTATAATAGGGACAAAATCAGAAAGAGCCTACATGCACAAAAAATACGGACATACTCACATGATGAAACAGCACGTTAAAAACATTTGGTACTTGAGTTTTTCCCCCTAAAATTATGTTTTGTTAGTCTTTGATAGCTTGATTTTTAATGGCATAATTTTTTTTAATCCTTTTATTCATAGGCCTTTATGAGGAAAAAACCTAATGGGGTTTGGGACTGCCAAAATACCTTACAAGATGCATGACTAAAAACATCGTGTTGTTCCCCTGTGCGGCCTCTCTCAGACTAAACCTGAAACAGCATGGCCATTTCCAGGCTCCAAGTACCAGGAAGCATACCGGCTAAGTCCAGAGAGGCGTGAGCACCACAGTGAAGCGGCAGGGACCCCTGTCACATGGCCTCCACAGCCACAGGAAACAAGCACATCTGACCAAGAACTTAAAGACCTGTCTCCAAATAAGCAAAGCACTGGCACACAGCAGAAGAGGAAAACTTTACAGAGGGCAAAAGTCAGAAGATCTGATAACAGCTACTCGTGAAGGGAGGTTTCGTCTCTCTTTAAGGCTGAGCTCCAGAAAGTTAACTCAAGTATGACAGAGTTTCATCACAGAGCGAGCTTCCGATCTCTGGAAACGTGCAGGCAAAACCATACATGGGCACCTGGGAGGCCAAGGGGGGCAGCCTGCCTGAGCGCAGGAGTTCGAGGCCAACCTGAGCCAGAGTGAAACTCCACCTCTTAAAAAAAAAAAAAAAAAAAACTAGTGGGGCATTGTGATGGGCAACTATAGTCCCAGCTACCTGGGAGGCCGAGGCAAGAGAAGATCGCTTGAGCCCAAGAGTTTGAAGTTCGAGGTTGCTGTGAGCTATGAGTATGATGCCAAGGCACTCTACCAAGAGCAACAAAGTCCTAAAAAAAAAAAAAAAAATGTGGAACATCTCATAGCAAAAATACCAAAAATGGAAAAGAAATAAGACCAAAAAATGTATAAGATCCCTCTCTACAGTAGGAGTCTTTGAATTAATGAATGTTGATGTAGCCATTTTAGACTGTTTACTAACTCAAAGAAGGTTAAGAGCTGTCTTAAAGTAAATTGAATGCCATCCTATGTTCTAGAAAAACATAAATATTAATAATCTACTATGCACAAACACATTTCACCCTGCTATTTTTAAGAGATGACTACAAGATCTAGTTTCTTGCTTCCTATTTGGTTTTATTTTTTCTTTTGTGATCACAATGCCATAAATTTTTGTTTTAAGTAATTTATAATGCTTATAGCAGCGGGGTCTCTGAAGTGTAGAAAGAGCTAACTTTTTTTTTTTTTTACATATACATGTGTTTACTTGGTTTCCACTTTTTGCCTTCACAAAATTAAAAAGTCTTAAAATTTAATAACAATAACAATGTTTAAGATAAGGACTAGAAACAAAAACCTCGTAAAGAACGAATGAAGATAAACATTTGGTTTTATCTGGTTTCTCAAAATACTTACAATTCTGGCCATGCTAAGCTGGAGTCCAAACACCAGGTTTAGTTCTTTGCCTTTAAACCAACTCACAGCATATGTATTCTGGGCAACGGCTAAGGACTCCCCACCAATCCTAAAAATAGGAAAAGAAAAGTCACAGCTTTTGAAGAAATACCATAGCTAATAATGCAGCAGGTTTAAAATACTGATGCTTCTCCCATGAAGAGGTGGAGTCACTGCCTCCTTCCCTTTAGTCTAGATGGGCTTCTAACTGCTTCAACCAATCAAATACAGTGGGAGTGGCACTGTGCAACCCCAAGGCTGGGTCATACAAGATGACATCCACACTTCCACTCCAACACTTGTACTTGGAGCCCGAGCCACCTAGTAAGAAGGCCAACAGCCCTCGTGTTGCGGGAAATCAAGCCACACAGAAAGGCTACACGTAAGAACTCTGGCCAACAGCCCCAGGATTCCAGGCACCCAGCCCAGGAGCTGACATGTGTCAGGGAGCTTTCAGATGATTCCAGCCCCCAGCCCTCCGTGAACCTTTCCAGCTGAGGCCCCAGACATCAGGAGCAGACAAGTCATCCATGGTATTCTACACCCAGTCCCAGTTCCTGACCCACAAAGTTCACGAGGGTAATGACACGGCTGTTTTTACTGCTAAGCATTAGAGTCATCTGAGATGCCACAATAACTGTGACAGGCAACAACAGAAGTTGGGGCTACCACCTCACCTCTGTACCACACGGAGGCTGCTGCGGGAAAGTGGTCCCCACAGTGTGAAAACACGGACGTTTACACTCCAGGCCAATACGCCAAGCTCTCCATCCAGCCTCCTATTCACCTTTCATATCCAACATCCTCCTGCCTCCTGGGTTTTAGTTTTCCTTCAGTACTTCCCAAGGCCTTGACTTAGGAGCCTCCTCACCAGCCTGTCCCAGGCCAAAAGTACTTTCCTTCTCTTCTAACCCAAACCCTGTAATTCTGCCAAAGCCACTTCATCCCACAGGCCATTTCTGACCACATTTCTGTCTCTGAATCCCTCTCATATTTTCATATTCCATTTCCTTCTCTCTCACTTAGAGAGAGGAAGGTCACATCTGTCTGCGTCCTTGGTGCCTGTGAAAAGCTTGAATAAATACACTTTTAGGACTCAGTAACTTCTGTCACCTGGTCCCTCAGGGAAGGAAGAGCAAGGCCTCACTCAGAAGGGGCTTTCTGAACAGACGCTGAGATTTAGGTACAACAATCAGCCTGCAGGCATCCTGCTGGCTCAGGATTCTTCAAAAGGGTCTGTACATCACCCACTAACAAAGACTGAGCTGTCCATGAACGATCAACCTAGAAATCCATGGTCTCCACTTTTCTAAACGAAGTTTAAATCATAACCTTCAACACAACAAAGCAGGCAAAACACCCAAGAAAAATATCATTTCTAAGAACTATTCAACATTCAAAACCCACAGAGTGAAATGAACCATGACCACTCAACATTTTTTCTTAATTTCTTTTTTTTTAATTCAGAAAAGACAACTAAAATACAGTCTTACATATACGTGGCTAGATTTCAAGGATTTGAAGTAAACCCCCAGAAAAGAGGAAAAAAATGTTTTTAATCCATTTTAATATGAATAGTTAGGATAAATTAAATTATGCATAACTTACCCAAACACAAACCTCCCAAATTCCATCAGCCAAAAAGCATTAAATATTCCACCCAGAGCAAAAACAACCTATAATATAGAATTTAATGCTCATTCAATAAAAAAGTAAATTCAAGGTGTTAAAGAAAAACAGTAAGTAATAAATCACAACTTCTACAATGGGTTTTATTAGTATTATAATATTCCTTCTTAGTAAATCTTTGAAATCAAAAAATTAATGTCATTTATTTCAAGGCCTAAAAGGGACTATGTCTTAGACCACATGGACATTTATGGGCACTGCTTAATTAAGCTAGGCACTAACTAAACACATCTTTGTCAGCAGAATTAATTAGACAAGAATTCAAAAGTCACTGCCAATCAAGGAATGTTTTGGCCTTCCTTACCTGTCCAATGCAAACAAAGCAGCTAAAAATAATTGTGCCCCATCTGTTTGAAAGAGAGAGAAAAATTCCTTAATTTCTTCTTATATCACAATAAGTAACCACAAAGTCTATGAGTAACAATTTCCTTTTGGTTTTCTTTGCCCCTTCTGTACCCCCCTCCAAGGAAAGAAAAATAAAGTGTTCATCTGCCTCTGAAGTCAGCAACTTTGCTCAGCCAAATACTAATACACAGAAGTCTACATTTCTGAGGACATTCCAGAGGCTTAAGTAATGGCATATATTGGCGTAAAAACCATTGTCATCTCTCAAAGAAAACTTATTAAATAACCTTCAAGATTAATTATTTAAAAAAAAAAAAAAAACCTTCAAGAAGTTTCCAGGGTCAAAACTATTTGAAAATGGAAATTCTCTATAAAATTTCTATTAAGAATTTAGGATTGAGTCCAAAGAGTTCTACACTAAATAACATTAAGTGATTGTAATGCTTGATAACTAAAAACTACTTTTAGAAGGACAAATATCAACCATGTTAATACAAGTTCAACATTCTACAATCTGAACATCTGATTAATTTTCTCCCAGAATAATAAAAGGCCAGAGTTGGCAGAGTCCTTAAAGGTCCCTGGAGTACTCCAGGCTTTTTAATCCCTCACAGGATCCTTGAGAAATGACCACACCACATTCTACTGGCTGTTCTCCAGGACTGGAAAACACATTCTATAGTCCCAAAACAATTTATGTCACCTCCTGTCAATCTGACCATGTAAAGTTTTCATCATACTAAGTAGAATCTGTTCCACCTTAAGTTTCAAGCTAATTCTAACCCTTGAGACCAAACAAAATAAGTTTAATTCTTCCTTCATACTCGAACTGTTCAAATTTGTAAAAAGTTAGTGTCCAAGTCTAAACACTTAAAATTTCCTCAACCCTTAACTACCAAACATGGTTTGAAGGGTCTTCATCACCTTGGTCTCCACCTTCTAAAACATTCCCAGCTTCCATTCCTCTTGCATCTCCACAAACAACGTAAACATGACAGTAAGAATGAGAAGTGACAAAGCTTACAGTGTTATTCCTTCCTCAATATCTAATCAAAGCGGTCACAAAAGGTCATGCCTAAAGGAAGGCGGAAATAGAAAATCTGCCTGGACTGAGAGAAGCACATATGACCAATAGGCCAAGGACTGTACATACGTGTAGTCTCTCATTTACTCTTCATAACCACCCTGCAAAGTAGGGATTATTATCCGTATTTTACCAATGAGGGAACAGAAGCTCAGAACAACTAGTAAGTTGACCAAGTGGTAGCAACACGATTCTAACTCTGCTTTGTCTGTTCTCAAGGGTGAGCTTTACCTCTAGATAATGGAGTTATTTCATTCCATCAGTAGCACTTGCTGCTCTTGACCTTAACTGAAATACCAATCAAGTTTCAAAAACCAACTCTAGAGAGAAAAATCGCTTTTAAAAATTCACACAGATTATCGCAGTCAATACAGAAGTCAATCCAGTTCTTTGTAGAAATATCTTAACCTTGCTCTGTATTTTCCTAATAATTAGGTGAGATTTACCCATAGGTGAGATATTTTTTTCAAGCTTACCGTTTTCCAAATACTCGGTCTATCAAAAAGCCACCGAAGAAACACAACACTACATTGGGCCAAGAATACCAGGCGTACAGGAGCATGAACTTCGTGGTATTCACCCGCATGTCCTATGTGGAAAGAATCGAACTATTTTTTTCCAGTTAAGTTTAACAACCAGCAAATCAAAATTATGACAATCTAACAGGAAAATGAAAGTGGTTACACTGTTCTTTCTGTGTAGGGTAAGTTTCTTAACCATTTGTAGTAACCCACTAACTTCCTTGAGAATCCCCTTGCCCAGAAAAATGGTCACACAGGGAACTTCTTGAATACATGTGCCATTTCAGGGGCTACACGGATTCCAGGATCAGATACCCTCCTATAGGGACCATGTCACTCTGCCTCTACCTGGTCCGGTCTTATTCCGTCAATGCTAACTGCCATGGGAACTCCTCGCACATCTTAACAGAATCATCTTAGCCTATCCCTACTCACCCTGCCCTCTCTCTGCCTCCCCCTTGCCAACTCCTACCTGCTTTCCTCTTTCATTCTAGAATGCAAAGGGTCAATCTATGTATTTTTCTGGTCCAAAGATTAAAAAAAAGTACAAAGAAAAAGACCATCAAAAACCCAGGAAACTATAAATAGAAAATATATTTTCATAATACAAAACCAAACTAAAAATACTGACATAGACAAGCCAATGCAGTCAGTATCCACCTTAAAAAACAAAGTAACACCAACAAAAACATATTTAAGAAGGCAACCAGCTAACCTACCTAATCACGTATGACTGAGCACTAGGAGAATGAAATGAAAACCAAAATTTACTAACAGTTTTGGCAATAAAGTAGACATACCACAAGATTATTTATCTAAGGTCTGAATCAAGTTCAAGTCACATATGTGTCATAAATGAATTCTTTGTGGCAACTCATTTCAACTCAAGAATACTCCTTATGGCTTACAGATTTAGTGACTACAAGTATTAAAACAGATTCAGTGGACATTTCAGACTAACAAGCTAAGAGTCGATGATGCCTCAGCAGCTACACGTGCTCGAAAGCAAACAAAAAACAAAGGTGAAAAATCAACTTACCCGTTTAATCTGAGTCTGAAGGGCAGCAGGATTATCGTAGCAAAAATAGCCTCCTAGAAAGGGAAAAGCAAATATTTCGTAAGTAACGATAGTAACCACATACAAGTTTCAAATTGCAAATACTTTTAAGCGCAAATTGCAAATACTTTTTATACTACAGGCTGGGCTTGAGGAACAATGCCACTTCCTCATCCCTCAGTACTTTCTAAACTGTAGTAACATCACTTTCACAAATGAGTAGCAAGCACGTACAGCAAATACTGGGAATCTGACTTAACAAGTCAATAATCAACTGTTTTCCCACTTTATTTGCATCATGCTTCACACGTCTATTCTATCAATATCTTCATGAAGCAGCTATATCTTCTTATTTAAAGCTACCAAAGCACACACACACACGTTAGAAATTCTGCAAACTGCCTCAAGTTTCCTAACAATGTTAGCTCTGGTCTCCTTGTCCTGAGAGCAGAGGAATGGAGTTTAGCCATTCTGACTAAACCGATATCTGAAACAAACTCTAATACCCAGGATCAAATCATTTAGCCAAGACAATCTTAGGAATGAAGAAAAAACGCAGTGAGAGTTCTAAAGAACTAAATTAAAACCTAACACTTACTGTAGTGCAAGCAGAGAGAAGGGAAGACAGATATGATATGCATTCACTCAAGATCTACTCTGGAGGTAAAATAACAGAGTCTTTGGTAGGATACAGGATAATACAGTCTCCAGTCCTCTGCTAATGCCCTCCATAAGTACACAAAACTACTGTCATTAGAAAGATATCAATCCGGCTTATAAACTCAGACAGATAACCAGAGTATACCAAATAATCTGTCCACCTGAGTAGGCACAATTTTTTTATTCAAGTGTTTTGTTGTTGTTTTTCTGGGTTTTTGTTTCTAAACCCAGAAATTTCTGATGCCAGCTTTTATTGCTTGTAAGGAATTCAGTGTCATGCTTCAAAGTTAATGGAGGACCAACATCTTTCAAAATAAAAAAAAAAAAAAATGGCTTGGTGCCTGTGGCTCAAGTGGCTAAGGTGCCAGCCACATACACCTAAGGTGGTGGGTTCGAATCCAGCCTGGGCTGGCCAAACAACAATG